GCGTTGGGGAAGGAAGGGTCGCGGGTGGGGGTGGCAGTCAGGATGGTGGTGGCAGTGTTGGTGGTGGAGGCGATGTCGCGGAGAAGGAGGAGAGGCCACCGGCTTCAGAGAGTGTCGAGCCGACGGCCGCGTTTGACGTCGCATCCCTCGTACTCTACGGCTCGCGCGCACTACCGATACGCCTTAAGATCTTGCTCGATCAGTTGTTCAACCAGTTGCAGCACGCGCAAGTGACACGTTTACTAGCCGCTTTCGGCTGGACGTACGAGGATTACACGCGAGGATACATACTGCAGGTGAGTCCACCCATTTAACACGTAGGCCCGTTAGCGTTTAGGCGTAGGAGCTCGTCTCTCGCGTGTGTGACTCGAACGAGTTTCGACCAAGTGACATCTCTAGTAGTATTATCCAGCTATTTGCCCGCGCGATAGTGCCAAGTGGATAGGCTAAAAGCGTCTTTGTTTATTCGAACTACCGTGTCCGTTATCGTTGCTCCGTTAGGGTTTAAGCATAGGACCCGGCTCGTCGTTATCGCGTGTGACTCGCGGGTGATCCGAGACCGAGTGACATCCTTCGTTGACGTATCGCCCGCGTGGCATTGTGAAGTGGATAGGCTAACCGTTTTTGCCCTACCGTGTCGCTGCTCCGTTAACGTTTAGGAGACCGATCGAATCCTGTCCGTCGTTCGCGCCTGTGACACTCGCGGAGTGACATCGTTCGTAGACGTGCTGCTCGACGATTTGCCCTCGTGGTTATCCCGACTCTTCGTTTCTTTCTATCGCCTCCTCGTCGTTGTCCAGAGATTTATGTCGTGCCGCTCCGCAGATCCAGAATACCTCCTCGCTAACGATGCTCCTAATCGAACAAGTGGACGATGAATCAGACTCGGACGTAGGTACATAATTGCAACGTGCCGACAGTATGACGTGATCGAAGCAGACAACGAAGTGACAAGTTGAAGAAAACGATCGATAAAGTACTGCTGTTGTGGTACGACGCTTGGACAAAAGTGGAGTAGGACGAGTGACAGGTATCGCGGGATGCGGTGTGCCCAACGAACTATTCGAGCATCGAAATTTCACGATGTTTCAAGGATTTGGGCCAAAATAGGTCGATCCGCGAACGAGACATTGGTGACGTTGACGTGATCTTCGGTGACGCGTGAAAATTTCGCCAAGTGGAACATCGACAGTGTCTTCGAGCTACGCGAAAACGTGACGCAACGCGGAACAGTGAACAACGACTCGAACAGAAAATTGTTTTCAAATTGTCCGAACAGTGATTTGAAAGTGCGCGGCGACCAAGTGTTCGGTGTATCGGTCGTATCGGGACACGAGACTGAAACTGTCGATAAGAGTGCTGTTGTGCAATTGTTAAAAAGGAGAATCGGTTGATCGACTCGGAGTATCGTGCAACGCGTTACAACGCGAGTGTTTTGAACGACGTAAAGAAAGAACTGACAGGGTCGATCAAATAATCGAGGCGTAAACTTTCGAAATTGTTACGTTTACGCGAAACGAAGTTGCCGATTCCGTGGATAAATCCGTCGTTTCGGAAGGAGTGTCTTGGCAGTGATTCAAAGCAAGTGTTACCTGTTAGAGGAAAAAGACGTTCGTTCTTTTCTCGCGAAATTGAACAGTCGTAGATCAACGTTTCGAAAAATGTCATCGATCGCGCGAAAATAATTGACGAGTCTCGATGACACGGGAAAACGAGGTCGTGTTTTGTCAGTGATGGAAAGTGTCGCTTAACAATTTTCCGTATGTTAAGGTGGATCGATCTGCTTTCGAGAAAATCGATCTGTCGCTGATTCGCGTTGACGGTTTAAGAGAAACGCTAAACGCGAGGCAACAATGTTGGATAAACCCGTTTCGATGAATCATATGTTAATGGTAACAGAACCGCGAGATTATACAATTTCATCCTTTAAGTATTCATTTATTTCTTGATCGCGTTTCAATTAGAAAATATCGGATTTGTTAAAAAGTTTGGTCACACACATGTTTGATCCTGCTGATATTGAGCCTGCGTCAATAATAATCCGGACAAACAAAATGTATGACAGGATATTTCGACTAAATAAGTTAGCGAATCTCTGATACTTTACAGCGTATCAGAACGTACATTAAAAAATGACCCATTTTCAAATTATAATCAATAGAATAATATAGATTAAAGTCGCGAGCAATGTTCGCGTATCGATTCTGAAACAAAGATATAAATATTTGGCTTCTTAAGTAGGTATGCTTTACGTATAGAGTATTGCACTTTTTTGCTTAAGAAATTGATCTAAGTGCATTGCAACAGCGATGACGAGACTTCGATAGAAATCGATTGTTTCTCTTCTGAAAAATGATCTCTAATTAAGGCGGTTCGATTCGAAAAATAATGAATCCATGTTGATGACGCGTAATTAAGCGACGTAAAAAAAGACAGTAAGCGATATCACCGATCTACCGTTCGAACGATCTCTCGTGGATGATTAACAGTGGACTCTGGATTAATCTCGAGTCAGCCTAATAAAACGTATAAAATGTACCGACGAAAAGTTAAGTGTCGAATCTTTGAACGAGAGGGATTGACATAATCGTTGGAAATATAAAAGGATGGTACACGGTCTGTTATATTAGCACCGATGAGACCGTAGGGGCAGAGAATTGCAATTAATGGGTTGACAAGTAAATTTGCGAGGCTCTCGCGTGTTTCGAAAGAGAACTTACAAAGAATTAACGATTGAAACGATGCGGACCTAGGTTAAAAATTGCCACTTGTAAACTTTTTTAATAAATAACTCTATATACGAAATGGAACTCGGAGTCGCAAATTTAGTTGTCAGTCCGATAATGATATGACTCGATAACTAAAAGAAGAAATAGTTTAAGAAAAGGTTTTACGGCGGTGAATGAAGGCTAACATTATTTTGATTTATTTGGCCGAGGCAACGCAAGATGGCAAGTGCAAAAGTTAATTTGAAAAATGAAAGGATCGTAGGTTGATTAATCAGGATTATAAGGTGTCCCAAGGTGCACGGTGATTTCCAGCGTGGCGCGTTGAACGCGTTAAGATCGAACGGCGACGATGTAGCGGAATCGAGCGGAAATCATGTGTCCCGAGGTCGTCCCGCGTTCCTGGGAAACTCGTCGTCCGTTCGATCCGTGGAAGCTCGAAAATACACGCTGGACCCGTCCACGGGCTGAGCATTAATCTCCGTGGCGGGCCGCTAGCGTTAGAAAATGGCCAGTATCCGTGTAAACTGAATTGCGCCGATGTCAGCGTGAAATTAAAACGTATGGAAAACCGGTTTCTCGAACGATGCCGCTCGGCTCGACGCTGCTCGACGCGGCTCGACGCGGCGTGTAGCGACATGGAGCGGTGTGGAGCGACGTAGAGCGGCACACACGCCACTCGCTTTGCTCGCTCGCTGTCCGCATGCCTCTGCGTCGCCCCGGAATTTAATCGACCGATGAATTCCGCGGCTGTTCGCGGTCACGCTCGAATCCTCTTCTTCTTTGCTCTTTGACCGTTCGCGGTACCAACGTCCTCGCTAATATATCGACACCGAATACACGGCTTGGGAGCCTGCCACTCGATATATGGACATCTTCGAGGCTTCCTTTCTCTATTGCGCGCGCCAGAGATTGTAGGCGACAGTACGATTCTCCTTGGTGTCGCGACGAGTGTCGTACTTTGAGATTAAACGAATAACGTTGCGGTCTTTACCATCGAACACAGTCTTCTCTTTTAGAGTGCCATATTTTAACATATTCCATTACTCTGAATCCGTTATATGAAACGGATTCATATAACGAGTTTGTATTTTACGTGAAAAAGATGTAAAAATTGATGATTAGGAATGGTAGAATACAAAGTAAAAACGTTATTCCGGTGAGAAATTTGTAACTACGAAGTATATTCGAAATGCGATGAAATATCAATGAACGAATTGAAACTTCTAGCTTCGAATTGCTGTCTCGCCACGCCTCGACATTATAGAAATTTCGTCGGATGCGCTAATAACGCGTCCCGATGCTTCGCGTCCGAACGAGAAAGTCGACGGATATTTATACAGGCTTAACACGCAAAACTCAAGTTACATTCGATACTTTCACTGTATATGAATCGCTCTAGCACGATGCAATTTCAGTTGTTCAACGAGTCGCCTCGTCTCCTAAATGCACGAACGCGTTTGCAAAAAGCGCGCAGGAATTTTTCGCGCGAATTCGACAACCACGCTTGTAAAACTATTTTTTCCGACGTCGGTAACTGTCGAAAGATAGAAAAAAATTGTCGGTTTTCCAAGCATCTTAGTTCGCTAGAAGTTCGCGAAAAAAGAAGTAGGTTAATCACTCTCGAAACGGATTACGTAACTCTAAACTACTTGGATTTGGTACAGTCGAGTGCGAATTGTCGAATTCTGTTCGTTTTCCTGTCCTCGATAGAGGAGCAAATAAACGATCTCTAAGAATAATAGATAGAATTTATTTCCTCGCGTTGGAGGAATGTTATTTCGACGATCCTTCTTTGACCGATCAATATTATGAATGTACGGTTCTGGTTTCAAAAGATCAAAATAAAAATTCATCGTCCAAGAAGGACGATTCTTCCTGAAATTACGATTCTGTCGCAGGATTCGAGGTAAATGTCAAGGAGAATAGAAACCTGTTCTTCGTATCGCAGGATTATCGAAAGAAACAAACGTAATCGTTTGTATAAAACAGGTCTGAACAACTCGCGCTTTCTGGGCAAGTGTTATGAACCAATGTCGCGCGAAGGATTACTCTGTAAATCTAAAAGATCGAAACGAGCATTTCGTACTCGCGCAAAATTTCTCTTCCTTCTTCGATTCGTTTCAACGTGTGACTAAACGAAATTGATAGATTCGCCCGTTTTCGAGCCCCGTAGCAATCGACGCGTTAAGATACGAGAGTGACTTAAGCAAAGGATATCGAACGGTGAGAGGAAACATCGTGAAAGCTCGACTCGATAAAAAGCGGATTCCAAGCAGAAACGAGCGGCGTGCGTGCGACACCACGCCCCGGAATTTAATCGACCGATGAATTCCGCGGCTGTTCGCGGTCACGCTCGAATCCTCTTCTTCTTTGCTCTTTGACCGTTCGCGGTACCAACGTCCTCGCTAATATATCGACACCGAATACACGGCTTGGGAGCCTGCCACTCGATATATGGACATCTTCGAGGCTTCCTTTCTCTATTGCGCGCGCCAGAGATTGTAGGCGACAGTACGATTCTCCTTGGTGTCGCGACGAGTGTCGTACTTTGAGATTAAACGAATAACGTTGCGGTCTTTACCATC